TGAGGGCCGTCCTGCAGGCTAAGAAAACATCTAAGAGGTCCTAGCAGTGCTAGGATCTCTGCGGGCGCCCCCACCCGTGATGGAGCGACTGAGGTCGTCTCCCTCGCGGAGCCCGCAGGAAATCGATGTCGTTCTCCCGCCGTCAAGTACGTTTCGGGACGCATCGGTTTCCAGCGATCGCAAGCTGCTTTGTCCGCCCCACGAGCCTGCGGACGGGCAGCAATTGCGTTCGCCCATCGAGAATCGTTTTCGGTCCAGTCCTGCCGGAGATCTGTTTCAGGCGGTCGAGAACGAATCCCGATTAATGTCCGAAACCAGGCTCGAGAGCCTGGTTCCCTTGGCGAAATATTTCGATGCATGGAAAAATCTAGCGAATATTTCCCCGTGGGCGCTGCGCACGATACAATACGGGTACAGGCTGCAGTTCGGGTTCCACCCACCCAGATTCAACGGGGTGGTCTGGACTGTAGTCAACCCCTACGCAGGGTCGGGTATTGGAACAGGAAGTAAACTCCCTGCTGGCAAAGGGGGCCATAGAGCATATTCCTCCACTAGACAGGGAGTCCGGGTTTTACAGCCGCTACTTTATAGTTCCCAAAAAAGATGGGGGGTTGCGTCCGATCATAGATCTCAGATATCTGAACCGCTCTCTGAGGAGATTCAGGTTCAAGATGCTCACTATTCCCATGATCGTGAGTCAGATCCAATCCGAGGATTGGTTCGTCACGATAGATCTGAAGGACGCATACTTTCATATATCCATCCTTCCATCCCACAGGAAGTTCCTGAGGTTCGCTTTCGGGGGCGAAGCGTACCAATATCGGGTTCTTCCATTCGGCCTAGCTCTCTCTCCCCGCACATTCACCAAATGTATGGATGTAGCTCTAGCACCTCTGAGGCTCCAGGGCATCAGGGTGCTCAACTATATAGACGACTGGCTGATTCTGGCCCAGTCTCAAGAGCTGGCGGTTCAGCATCGAGATGTTGTTCTTGCCCACATCCAGAAATTGGGGTTGAGACTAAACACGAAGAAGAGCGTGTTGATACCAGCCCAAAGGACTACGTTCCTGGGAGTGGTATGGGATTCGGTCGTAATGCGGGCACGATTGTCACCTGCGCGAGTCGAGTCCATTCTGGCCACAGTGGCTGGGATAAAGCTAGGCCAAGCCGTCACTGTCAAGCATTTCCAGAGAGTGCTGGGACTCATGGCAGCAGCGTCCAACATCATTCCATTTGGCCTGCTGCACATGAGGGCCCTCCAGTGGTGGTTAAAAACCAAGGGGTTCTCCCCGAGGGGAAACCCGTTCCACACAATCAGAGTTACGCGCAGATGCCTTCGTTCTCTGGTTATGTGGAAGAAAGCTTGGTTCTTGTCCCAAGGTCCAGTGTTGGGAGCGCCAGGTCGCCGTAAAACCGTTTCGACAGACGCTTCCCTCACGGGCTGGGGCGCGGTCATGGACGGCCGCTTCACGACAGGCCTATGGCGGGACCATCATTCCTCCTGGCACATAAACTGCCTGGAAATGTTGGCGGTCTCCCGGGCTCTGAGGAGCTTCCTGCCGGACCTCAGAGGTCATCACGTCCTCGTGAGGTCAGACAGCATGTCAGTGGTGGCCTATATAAACCATCAGGGGGGCCTGAGGTCTCGCCCTCTATGCAGACTGGCGCATCAGATCCTCCTGTGGTCCCAGGGGAAACTGTTGTCTCTGAGAGCAACATACATCCCGGGAAGTCTAAATCAGGGAGCAGACGTCCTGTCGAGACAGGGGCTGAGGCCCGGGGATTGGAGACTTCACCCCGAGGTGGTGGAGTCGATATGTCAGAGGTTCGGCCCTGTGGAAGTGGACCTGTTTGCGTCTCAAGAGACGACCCACTGTCCGCTGTGGTTTTCCCTCACCCCTCCAGCCCCACTGGGGCTGGATGCTATGGTGCAGACGTGGCCGAGGCTGCGTCTGTATGCATTTCCCCCGATCGCTCTGGAGTTTGCTCCAGGCAACATTAAGGCCATCCTTCACCCTAGGCCTGGCTATCTGCCTAAGGTGCCATCTAATGTGGCACGGCCTACGGTTCTGCAGGCATTTCATCCCCCACCTCACCTGACGGCGGATGAGGAGAGACTTCATAGGCTCTGCCCTGTCAGAGCACTAGGGATATATATTCAGAGGTCCTCTTCATGGCGGAAGGCGGACCAGTTGCTGGTATGTTTCGGGTCGCCCAAAAAGGGGTTTCCGGCCTCAAAACAAACCATCAGCAACTGGATTGTCAATGCGATTTCCACAGCTTATCAGGTGCGCGGTATGCCTTCACCTTTGGCTGTGAGGGCCCATTCCACTAGAGGCATAGCATCCTCTAGGGCCCTTCTCGCAGGGGCCCCCATCCAGGAAGTCTGCGATGCAGCTGGATGGGCTACCCCACATACCTTCATTAGGTTTTACAGCTTAGACATTCCGTCGACACCCGGCTCTCTTGTGCTCGCGTCCTGAGTGTGCCTGTGAGCAGCTTCACACCAGGACAGGCAGGGCGCGTTGTGGCGTAGTGGGTACTCGTTCCCCCAAAGTGTCACTTGGACGCAGTTTGAGTTCCCTCGATAGGGAACGTCCTCGGGTTACGACTGTAACCCTTGTTCCCTGAGAAGGGAACGAGAACTGCGTCTCGTGGCCACGCCTTCCCTGCCTGGGAGCGCTTGCTTCATCACAGAAGCTGACATGTTGTGTGTGCCGGTTCCTTATATATGCTTCCGCCTATGTGTCGTCACACATCACGTCATCACGTTGATCCAATCGGAGATTGGCTTAGTTTCATTCATGCTTCAGAGACGCTACGCTGAGGGGCGTTCCCCCCAAAGTGTCACTTGGACGCAGTTCTCGTTCCCTTCTCAGGGAACAAGGGTTACAGTCGTAACCCGAGGACGTTTCCCTGACAAGAAGTCATGTAATAAAAACAATCAATATTCAACAAATTAATATGTATATAATAATCAGTGTTTGTTAAGGAATCTTCCAATGCAAGCCACTTTTGCAAATCTAGGAAGTGACTTGGAACATTCTTAAATGTATTCAAGAATGGAGATTGTTCATTCCTTACAACAGGTGTGAGAGTGTGTGTTTGTGTGAGGGCGTGAGTGCGTCTCTGTGTGAAAGTGTGTGTTTTTTCGTCTGAGTGTGAGTTTGAGCATTTTTGTGAGAGAAAGAGAGAAGAGAGAGTGTGTGTGTGTGTGTGTTAGCAGTGATACTACAACTCAGCAGATACGCATGCACGTGCGATCGGTTGTTTGTGTTTGTAGCTCCGGAGAATTTCTTCACTAATCCTTGATTTTCTTCTTTACCACTTATTTATAAACAAGCACTTTCTATTTTTATATCATGTGAACTTATCCTCGATACTATTCCTTATAAAAAACAATTGGAT